CCGATGTATGTATACAATGGTTGCGATGTTATATTCGTAATATGTAAGATCATTGCAGGTAAATCGTAGATGCCCATTTCGTGAAAGCTAAAGAAAAAAATTGATATATGTATATCATTACAAAATATAACAAAAAAATATATTATTACATAGTATTACAGTGTAGAGAATTGATTAATCAATTTTTTATCATATATAAGTTAAGTTACATATTATTATAACTATGTTGCATTTAACGCATTTATTAATGTAAATTTATTTTTATTAATGTAAATACCTGAAGTTCCAAAATTTTGAATCCGATGGCGACAAAGAAACATGTGCTCTCGAGTAAGTATTCCCACGAAAATTACCCATCCAAACGTCATACCCGTGATTGGCCAATGTGAAAGCTAGCAAGAAGAATAAAACATTGTTTCCAATAGATTCCGCGTAATTATTTAACTTTTAATATTAATATAAATATACATATATAAGTAGCTTTAAAATTATATAATATATATAGTCGATTTTGATGTAAATACATTGTTAAAACAAAAGTAGATCGGAACAACAAGTTTATTATCGAGCTTTTATTATCGAGTGAGTTAAATAAAAAAATCCTAATAATTAATAAAATGTGAAAATCAAGAAGAGATATCTTTTTAAAAGATTACTCAAGCAGAACAACAAGTCATTATGATATTAAAATTATGTCAAATGATCATTAAAATGATCATTTTCAATCATTTCTGATTCATTTTAATGTTATCATGACTTATTGTTCTACTTGGATATGTCATTTATGTGTGATATCAGTTTTATATATATATATAGTTTTATATACATATATAACATAATTACATTATTATATTAATATTATAAAATTATATGTGCAATTGTTTTAAAAACAATAGGGTGTGCTAGAAATTACATTAGGAGTTATTTTTTCATATAAATTTTATAATTTTTCCTGATGTTTTCCAGATGAAACGTAATAAACGATCTCGTAGTGAGAGAAACATTTTTGGTGATTAATTAATGTCATACCAAGTCCTTTATCCTTTCCGGAAATAAGAAAATCGGTGAAGCTGCTTAAAAGACCATGTTGCAGCAGCACGGATGGACCATTTTTATTTGGGATACGATAAAGTGTTAAGAGATACCCATCCTCCGTCTGTATCGCGTGAGCTTCCGCGGGAAAACCTGCTTTTCTTATCCTCTGTAACTAAAAATAGTGAAAGCACAAAAAATTATATTTATTATACAAATTTAAATTAATTTTTGATTGATTAAGATTATTATTTGTGTACATCATTACTAACATGTTATTGCTATCAGTCTTGACCGGAAGGAAGATTAATATAACATAATAGTACAAAGTACGTTCACTCATATATCTTCTTCATATATCTTCTTTCTTCTAAATAGCACAGAGATTTGAGCATTTTTATTTTATTTTATATAAAACTTATATATATTTAATATAAAAAGTAATTATTAAAATTTATAATAAAGTTATATCCAATGTTATTTATTTAATGAATGATTATAAAATTATAAATGAATGATTTCATAAAATGAATGACTATTACTGAATACTGAAATATTCTACAAAACTTAAAGTTTGATAAATAATTTATAATTTAATTGATTTTAATGATTTTACAGTTAAATATTTATTTTAAAAAACGGTAAAGCAAATACTGTTATAAAATGACTAATTTATTTTAAATCTCATTTCATATATTTCAAAACAAGAAAAATATTCTCTTGTTTTAATCCGAATTACTTTTAAATAATGTTAACAATGAATAATTTAATCGATTTTAAAACAAAAAAATGATAAGATTTTAAGCGAGAATTAAAATCATTATTTTTATCAAAATGTAAGGGGGCTCAAATTTTAATTGCGAACAGAAACGTAACAATTGATCGTAACATAGGATCGTTTTCTGTATATTACAATATCAAATACCTAGTATTTGAGAGTTAATAAAAGTAGTAAAGATTTTTTTTCTTTTTTCTAGATGCGTACACTTACCATATCGAGATTGTCTTGAGAAAAAATATACGTGCTGTTTGACTGTTCCTTGTTGGTGCCCATCACTTTTTTGATAACGTCCTTCGGGATGTCGAATATTCCAGCCGCTGCAAAGTCGAGAAAGCCACAAAAGGATAAAAGGATCACGATCAACTGCATCGCAAACGAATGATTCAGTGTCAATGAACAAAAACAAAAGACACACGTCTTTTAATATCTAAGTATAATACTGATAACAAAATAAAGCAAAGAGAAGAAGTAGCGTGATTAGTTGATCTCTTCTTTAATCTTCTCTTTATGAAATAATTGCAAAGGATGAATCATTCCGTTAACGATTTGTTTCTATTAGATAAAAACGAAGATATTGCGTTGTTAATTACGTTATTAATTACACGGTGATAAAATTTTAAAAAATACATACATGACTCATGTTGCGGCATATTATTATTATTATATCGACAGATTGCACTGTCCAACATTATTTTGCAACACGAGTGTGAATTATAGTCATTTCTGATATTATGTTATTATTTTGAAAAAATACCAAAAAAATTAAAAACGAAAATTTTAAGAGTTGCATAATGTTGCATAACAAACCGGAAGCACAATTTTTTTCTACATTTCATTAATGCCAAAAGAAAGTATCAACGTTTAGCTTTAAAATGCATTTTGTTTTTTTTTGTGATTTTATTTATTCAAGATTATAGTCTTCCTGCATTATATTGTATTTTCAATTTTATATTGTTTTTTTATTTAGTATGATTCGATTATTTTATGTAAGTATGTTATGTAAGCATTTATTTTCTACATAATGCAATATTAAAATGGAATAAATGCCTTTTTCATATTTACATAGAAAAAGAACTATTTAAAATTGCTATATTTCGAAAACGAAAAATCATATCAAAACGAAATAAAATGCATTTTAGCAAAGCTTAAAGCTGACACTAGCTGACGTAGTATTAACAAAGTTTCAAAAAAAACTTACTACCGGTATTACGTCATGGAAATCTTTGAAATTATTATTTTTTGCCTTTTTTCTCAAAATTGTAACATAATAACCAAATTTAGACAACGGATTCATTATTAACAGGCAAAAATACATCGAAAATAATTTTTTTTTATTCGTAATGCAAAAAAGTCAAGTTTTGTCGAACAGTGTTACTAGAGCACCAAAATTATGACACAAGACAAATAAAAGTACACAATAGGGCGTGCGCCCTGAACGTATGTTATACAAGCACTACAATAAAAAATAATCAAAAGATGTGCAATAGCGTAAGTGTAAACTCTACAGACAAATAAGCATATAAAATATGAGGAATATAAGACATGCGTTTATCATATATGTAAAATTTTTTAGATAAATTGTGTGTGTGTGTGTGTGTGTGTGTGTGTGTGTGTGTGTGTGTGTGTGTGTGTGTGTGTGTGTGTGTGTGTACACACACACCAGAGTATTCCGTAACTGTTGGGTACAATTAATAAAGGGATAATTATATATGAAAAAATAAGTTAAGAATGTAAAAGAAAATTTTAAAATCGATTTTCCTGAAAGTTTTATACGAAAATGCGTTTTCAACTTATTTCTTCGTATAGAATTACCGTCTTTCCAGTCACATCACCAGATATAGAACGTTGCATACTACTACTATAATTTTTTTATAAATAACAGTAATTTTTTTTCTTTTGTCTTTGTTTTCTATAAGAGTGCTACGTGTTTCCAGCATGTTATGATAAATATATTGAAAAATATTCACTCAGTAATATAAAATACATGAAAAAAAGAACGTAAAATTGACAATATATAGCGTCGTGAATAGCATAAAATAAATGTATGATAACATTTAACATTGTATTGTTACATATCATTATATAGTATATATAATGACATAAAATGCTTTATTTAATAAGATCAAGTTTAATTATTTTATGCTAATAAAGTTACCACAGAATATTTAGACAATGCATTTTATAAGAGTTAACAGTCCCTAAAGTTTATATTAAAAGTGTTTGTTGGTTTATTTCTGCTCTGAAAATTATAGAATAGATGTGTGCGTGCTTTATCGTTACTTAAAGTTTTAAATATTGTCCTACAAACTGTATCCTTCACATTTTAGATACATATTTGTGCCGTCTGCCTCTGTACAGCATTTTAGTACAGATAATTACATATTAACAATACTTTTTATTATAATTTTGTAGACAAAATTCCAAGTAATTAAAAAAAAAAAGAGAATCTTTTTCTTTGTAAAAATGTAATTTATGATAATTTGTTGTCAATAAACCAAAACAAGTACTATTGATACTAATTCTTTCTGCAAATCACTTGCTAGTTATTTCATGCGAAATATAAATTTTATTTTAATATAAATTTGATAAAAGTGATTTGTCAAATTGTTATTAAATGCAGCATTATTTAAAAATTTTTTCGCGTTACATTTTGAAAAATTGTTGCAAGTCTTTAAATTTTATAGAATTCGAGTATGAGATTGAATATATAATAATAATAAAGGATTAACGTTTTTGAGAAAAACTGTTATTATGGAAATTATCAATATTAATTAGTATTATAAATAGATTATTATAGAGTGTTATAGGTAATGATAGTAAGTGATTTGTCTTATATATTATTTTGGTTACAAAAATTTTTTATTATTTAATTATTAATAATATAAAAGGTCATTCAAGCTTATACAATGTGAAAAATATCTGCATAATTTTTTTTGAATCCTGCAATAATTTATAAACAAAGTTTATGAATTTTCTGTAACAAACTTTTATTATTATTAACGATTTAATTAAATATAAAAAATTTTATATTGTCTTATTACTAACTTCAAGAAATTAATTTTGCAATAATTTATATTTATTGTTTGAATTTATTAATTTTATTTAATAAAAACTAATAATTACTAATAATTGAGTAAATAAATAGTATTCGTAGTCAAATCGAAATTTTTTATACATTTTTGCTTGTATTGAAAATTTCATTCATCCAGTTTCACATCAAAATAACGATCAAAGTGGCAAAATAGCGTCATTTTAATACAGCTACAAACTTATAAAATAGTAAGCCGAATTTATTTTTAATTTAAGATCACAATAACACCGAAAAGATTTGGTGTCTCAGTCATTTCTTATCTTTATTATCGTTATGGCACATTATCTTCTTCATAATCTTTAGCTTTTTCAAATCTTCTTCATAATCTCAAGCAGCCTCTTGTACACGAGCTCAGGCGCGTCCTTGCCCCAGATGAAATCCAGGTGATTAAATTTAGGAAACGGTACTCTGTACATATCCAATATGTTGGGTAACAGATAGTAAAGTTTCTTCACATCCTTGAAAAAAAAATATCATAAGTTATCATGCATTTTATATTTCTTACTCAACTCTATGTGTCTTTATACACAATGTTTTCATTTAGACTCTAGACACATGTTTCTTTAACTCAGTCAGATTCAAAATTTTTTAATTTTAATTATTTATGATAATAAAGTAAAAATAATGATGCATTGAATGTAATATAATCACAACAGTATATTATTATAGCTTAAAGTATGAAATTAATACGAATTAGTTCTTAATATGTATTTCTCACGTGTCTTTTTAATCTAAAGGTTTATTTTCCTGCTGCTTACCTCACTGCTGACCAACCAATCATTGTCGCCGTAGAATATCGCAATTGGCACGGTAATGCTCGTTAGATCGTAGTCCGGCGGTTCCGTTGCATTGTAAATCAGCAAATTATTTTTGCGTCCATAGTCGTATTGACGAAATTTGCCCGACTCAATTTCCTGGTTGAAGTGCACCATCGTTTTAGCCGAGGCGCCGGCTGGGTCGTGATTCAGAATCACTGGTAGCAGAGTCTAGGAAATGATATCTCGGTTATGATTTGAAGCGTCATCGCATATGCTAAATGTGACTTTCAAAGCGTTGTTCAGAATTACACTTGGATTACGGCTTTTATGGAATGCTTACGTAGTTGAACTGTTCTTTGTCGAATCCACAGATTAGGAATATCACGTTGGCGCAGATCTCCTTCTCAATATTAAACGTATCACAGCCATACTTACTCAGATAATATAGCATATCGCTGTGTGGAAGAAACTCGTTTTTGCCGAAGAAATGTGCGATTATCTGTAATTCCCAAATTCTTTAATTGGAATATAATTTATAATATAATTATTTTGATTGTTCCAGTTTTAGCAAGTGTTTGAGAATAAATCAAGTCACTTGAAGTACTTTTATGAACTAAATTTATATAAGCGATCTTTGATCTTAAATCTTAATTCGTAAAAAATGTCTCGTTAAAATTATAATCAAAGGTTTGGATAATATAGCTCTGAACAATGAAATGCGTTCTATGTAAAGTTTGCTCGAGGATTATTTTATCCTTATTGTTTAATAAATGTAAAGGCGCCTTCAGACGATATGACCAATGTATGTCAATATTAGCAAATATCATACACATACATATGTAATTAATATTTAGCGAATGTGTACAAAGTTGGCGTATATATTGACCATATCGTCTGGAGGCGTTCTTAAACAAGGAAAAAATTATGCACGTGAGTACGAACGTTAAAATAGACACACCCAATATAGACATTAAACATAGATATCTAACAATAAGTGAAAATAGTGAAAAGATAATGTTCCCATTTTTAAAGTTAATTTCTAGTTAAAATAAAATTTCTTATGAAATCTTCTTCCACACTTGTTTATATTTACACAGAAAATTAATCTTTCTTCTAGTCATAAGATATATAAAATTCCTTCTTGCATGAATAAAATATATAGAATAATTAACTGGTCATATATTATTTTTTAACGATAACGAACACGCTTTTATCGCAATTTTCTGATATTTAACTTTATGTATCTTTGAAACATTAAATTTTTTAAGTAAATTGCGCTTGGAATTGGTCAAAAAAATATATAGTTTTGTTATATTTTCTCCTTATAAAGTTTTAAAACAAGGATTATTGATGCTTAACATTTTTTTTGCTGAAAAGACATGAAAGACAAAATTGTTTTTGAAAAGTAATAATAAAGCAAGTAAGGCATCCTCTATGTCAGTGCTCGCAAATATTTGCACATTTCGGGCTGATTCCGGCAAGCGACCTTCACCACCGTTCGAAGCTCGGCGGCCGAAACGCCGAATGCTCACGTGACACTCCGGTTCAGGAACGTTCCTACCAGAAATATACTGGGAGCGCATCTTCCACCAAATTATTATTGAAATATGTTTTTTATTTTAATAATTTTTTAAAATAATTTTTTTCTATTAACATACAATTTTCTATTGTTAATTTATTTATTGTTCTTTAGTGAGATATTCTTATATCTTAACGTCGTTAGTTTAATTTTTTAATACATTACATAATTATGATAACGTACATTTCGACAATAGCTTTCCACATTACCCGTACTATTGTAAGATGCGTTTTTTTTTAAATGTAATTTCCCCAGTAAGCCTATTCTACAAAAAGAAAAATCGAAAAGGAGAATCAAAATTATATATCGTATAATATAATATTATATAATTTATAATATAATATAATATAATATAATTTTGTTTTCCTGCAAAGCCACATTCGAGTATTTGATTTTTCTTTTAGATATCGAAATGTACGTTATCATAATTATATAATGTAATAAAAAACTACGTTAAGATATAAGTATATCATTAAGAAACAATGAAGAAATTAACAATAGAAATTTTTATGTTAATAGAAATAAATTGTTTAATAAAAAACATGTTTCAATAATAATTTAGCAGAAGGTGTGTTCCCAGTATATTTCTGGTATGGACGCTCCTGAACCAGAGTGTCACGTGAGCGTTCGGCAGTTCGGCCGTCGAGTCTCGAGCGGTGGTGGGGGTCGCTCGCCGAAATCAGCTCGAAATGTATAAATCTTTGCGAGCACTGCTTCATGTAACATAAAATTATAAGACAGGTGAATTAATGCTAGATGTAGTTTCCTAACTATTAGATGTGGTTTTGAATCTTTATATATTAATAATTAGCTTACTTTCTAGCAGTATATTTAGACATATTACCTCAAGTTTCTGTGCGAAACGAGAAAAATATCGTATTGGACTTTTCATATGGTTCATAAAAACTGGAGGCGCGAGACTAATCATCATTTGCACCATTCGAGCGATTTCTGGACGTTCCACTGCCATTACATAAAAAGAAGTTGTACCCATCGAATGACCAATGTATGTGAGCAATGGATGTGATGTCACATTCGTGATATACGAAATCATCGCAGGTAAATCATAGATGCCCATTTCATGAAAGCTAACAACAATTTTAATTGATATAGATATATCACAAAATATAACAGAGAGTATATATATATATATTTTTTTATAATAATATAAAATAAAACTGGTATAAAAATTAACCAACTTTTTTTTACTATGAATTATAGTGACAAGAGCGTTGTCGAGCAGTTTAAAAGAAATAAAGTTTTTTAAAAAATTGAAGTTATATTTTAAAAGTATATTACATGATTAACATATATTTATTTAGTAAGTGTGGCAACCAATTACTATTATTATTTATAACTGAGATATGCTTTCTACGAAATTTTTGGTCAGATTATTGAGTAAGCCCTTCCAAATTTTCCAAAATACGTGCCAAGATAACGGCTTCAAATAAATATTTGTTTTTCTTGAAGCTTTATCTTCACGATATTGACCAGATATTTTCGATTTACAGTTGGAGATTGAGAAGGCTAATAATCCATCATTACGTCATTTTTACATTTGTGAAAACCTTGTAGAAGCATATCTGATGGAAAGTATGAAAATAAGCTATATAATCAATAATAATTGTGGATGCTATACACTACATAATGTATGTATACTTTTAAAATAGTTTTATTTTTGAACATCACTTTTAATATATTCGGTTATTTCTTTCAAAGAACTGCTGAACGCTGATGCTGCTCTTATGTTATTGATTATAAATCATTATTTCAACTATATCATTTTTACCGCACTGTTTATTTTTTTATTGTATAGTGTGAGTACCTGAAATTCCAAAATCTTGAATCCGATGGAGATAAAGAAACATGTGCCCTTGAGTAAGTATTCCCACGAATATTGCCCAACCAAACATCATAGCCCTGATCAGCCAATATGAAAGCTAATAAAGAAAACATTGTTTACAGTACTACTTAAGTGATGACAATATTTTGGTTTTATAATGTTATATGCATAGTCTCACCATACATCTGATTTTTTTCTTATATATTAATCCGATTTTGCGTAAAAAGTGAAACTTTATTTAAAATCCAGAACAATATCTGATCTTAATAGTCAAAATTATTTGCATAAACAATATAATATTAAAAGATAATAAATAAAATGCCAATTTGAGCTAATATTAATTATGTAGTGTGTAATTATTAGTGTGTATTTTATACTATTTATTCAAAATGAATAGTGAAGCGTTTATACTTTAATAGTTTATACTTATATGCGCTATCATTATGTAATTAGTATTTAATATTTACATTTAATTAATTTTGTTTGTACTGAAGAGGACCGTAGGTCGAAATGTATATGCTTTAGTGTTGGCTCAAATTGGCATTTTATTTATTATCTTTTAGATTGTTTCTTTAGAGCCTATTGATTATCTTGTCTTGAGTATAATATTAAAAAAATAAAAATTTTTAAAAACCGAAATGCGTTATAATTTGCACTAGACATATTAAAATTTTTTGGCACGTTGAAATTTAAGAATTTATGTCGACATTTTTCCGAATCATAATCGATGATTTCTTTAAATTGAAGATGGTACCAAGTCCTTTATCCTTGCCGGCAATGACCCAGTCGGCAGAGCTACACAACAAACCGTGCTGCAACAACACTGGCTGATGCTCGTTATTTGGGATACGATGAAGTGTTAATAGATAACCGTCCTGCGTCTGTACAACGTGAGCCTCCGCAGGATAACCAGCTTTTCTTATCATTTGCACCTGGGAAAAATGAAAAAACGGTTTGTTTATTTATCACTAGTGGTACAAATCATAATCTTAAAATTTATCAAAAGTTCAAGTTTATTATGATAATATACAGATTGTCTCGAAATTCACGAATCAAAATACTACAGTAAGAAAGTGTTCAAAAAATTAAGTCTGGTCACAAGTGATTTTAAGATACCATTAAGATGATTTTAAATATAAGATCGTATTATAAAATCTAAAAATCAGAATATAGAAAAAATATATTTACTTACTGTATTAAGGTTGGCATCGATATTGAATTTGGCGCTGTTCAACTGTTCCTGATTATTCCGCATCGTATTCATGAGCGCGCTCGGCGAGGTATCTTGCGGAATGTCGAATGTCATGGCAAGGTCGCAAAATACCAAAAGGAATGCTATCACGATTGTCCACATCATGTCGGCGTATGATAGGATTTGAATTTGATAGAACTGGTGACGAAAGGATTTGAATTGGATCGCGGATCCCCCGATGGATATTAATATGTAATAATAAAAGATCAAAGAGATGAGAGTATGACTGTGTTCTCTACGCAACTGAGCTCTTTTTGTTCCTGTCACGATCTTTATATGCTCTAAGGAGCGCTGACGAATGTGTACATCAGTCAGAAAAGAGACGGGAAGAAAGAAAGAAAGGAGGGGAGACACGATAATAGAACAAATGAAATTGTATTAGTTATTATAGTTTGATAAGTATGAAAATTGTCTGCAATTGAAAAATAAAGGTACACGTGTAGTTGTAGTGCTAGTAATTGTAACAAGTAGCTAGGCGAGCAATTTATTCTTCTCATTTGTATTCTATGTATAGTTGGAAGGAAATATTTATTTTGACTGGAAAATTTTACATTTCTCTTGAAATACTTTTTCGTAATAAGGCATGTTTTTTAGTAATTCGATTAATTGCATTTAAGATTATTTTAAGTCTGATCTCTCATAAGGTGACATTCTCTCATAGTCCAATTTTCAAGATCGTCGGATCAAGTTTGATCCTAGACACGCAATTTTATGATATTTAATAGTCAAAATGAACACTCGTGTTTCTGGATGCATCTGGAAAATACCCTTTAATATCACTTCAAGATAGATAGATTATTAAATAATTATATTATAATTAATACTGCTACGTGCAGTATGTTTCTTGGAAAGAAAAAGAATAAAAGTTGTATAAAATACAAGTTTTAATTGAAAAGAACATAAAATTATATCGAGTTTACAGTAAAATTGACTACGAATTAACTGTAAAAATTGAAATAGAATATTGTAATAAAGAAATGTGTTATACAATGTATTTAAAATTTAAGTCTTATTTTTCTAAATAAAATATTTAATTAGATATTCGAAGTTACGAATATTAAATTAAAAATGAATTTACATTTTTTTGCGTATTTTATTTTATTCTTGATTTCTTGTTTTAGTTCGATAGATTTTTAATTCTAAAACTTAAATTTATTTACCAGTGTCATTTATAACTTCTAATCAAAATAACGTAAAAATTAATTTATTGCCGCTATTCTCTTTCTTTCGATATTAATACTAACCAATTAATTTTTGTTAGAAAAGATTGATTTATTCAATTATTTAAAAAGCGATTATATTTATCTGCACAAATCATTCAAGTATAATTTCTTATATTTATAAACTTCTACTTAAAAAAATAATAGTCTTGAAATAATTTTTCATCGTTCTTCCTTTGTTATGAGATTTACTTGAATTTATAATCAATTTAATATCGCGCGCAAATCTACGTTACTTCCATTTTATTTTAAATCTTTTTACGATTTTCGAGTCTCGATCTGTACATACATGTACCGCACGTGTTTACTTGAGCTTCATCGATTTTAAAAGTTTAACGTTTTCGTATGTTTTCGACTTTTGTTATAACTCGATACAAACATACATGTTTTGATAAGAAAAAAGTGTTTTGTCAAGGAAATAAATACGTATAACCGATAGCTCTTTTAACGAATAATAACCGTCACAAGTACATGTCGGGATCCTTGTTTGGTGTGCGCATTCCCGCGTGACGGTCAATAAAGAATACTTAAATAGTGCAGCTGTGC